TTTTTCTGTAATAAAGGGGAAAATATGAATATATAAAGTATTTGCTTATATTGAAAATATTAACTATAGAAGAATAAACCAAAAACTAATAAAAATAGTTACCTAAAGAGTGAGGAAAGAAACAGGGTGGAGGTGACAGGGAGAGAGGTAGACTTCCCTAAACGCTGCCTGTTTTATATTTTTGACTTTGGAACCATGTAAACTATTTTTATAAGTATAAAAAAGATAATTTTTTACAAAGCAATCCTTGAAAACCAGAAAGCAACATAAAACAAATAAACCTACTGAGCTGGTAGCTCAGTCTCACAAAAAGAACTGTTTCTAGTGTTCGTGGGAAGAGAGACTTGTGACTGTAAATCCCTCGTAGGATACATTCCAAGGACAAAAAGAATTACAAACACAGCCTAAGCTGTTTTCAGGTAAGCCTACTTTTAGTAGCAATAGTATCATTGCTACATTGAAAGTATTATATACAGTAGAATAAAACAAGTAAGTCATAATGTTAATGTCATAAGAAGCCAAAAATTTTAACTTAAAGAAAAAAAGATACAATAGAAAGTAAAAAACGTAACAACCCTGTTATACTAATTTTAAACTAAAAATAGCTATATTCATATTTTCTCTTAGGAAAAAAACAATCACATTTCCTAGTTCTGCTCACTAAAAAGGTCTGGAAACAAGGACCAACCTAGTAGCAACTAGCACCTCTAATACCCAGATTGTGGTCTCTAACTAGCTGGTAAAGAGAACTCTGAGCTCCTTGGAGAAACAGCTGATTCTCGGTTAGGGGTAGGAAATATACAAAAGGGGCCTAAAACTCTGAGAAGAAAACAGGGAGTTTTCAGACTACTGGAGTCATGTCAAAAAGACAGCAACTGATCTGAAGGGCATTCCACTGGCCAGAGATTGAACAATTTGATACAAAAAGAATAATGCAAAAGATTGAAACACATCAAATATGGTAGAAATCCATGCGTCCATGGTGAAATTTAAAAAGCAAACCTTTAGGGGATTCTAGAGAGGTAACTCATTCTAAAATAGAAGGAAAGGATTAGTATTTATCCCACCTTTCCTTTAGGAACTGAAATTCTGGGTTGCTAAACAGTTGACGAGAACATGTTTTTCTTTAGAGAGGAATTCCATCTGATAATGATGGAAGGAATTACAGAATTAGAATATCACCCTGTTAGAGTCTTTATACAATTAACAGATTTAGGTAATGATCATCAGTGGTGCTAAACCATTAGGTGAAAGGCTAATTGAGAACTTAACAATGGATGGACCAGTCTTAACCCCACGAGAGAGAGCTGAACATTATGTACCCCCTGATGTGGAAGTGTACAACACTATCTAAGAAGTATTCTTGCCAAAAAGCAGAACCTAAATCTGAGCAAGCCTCTAGACCTAGCTGTCAATTAAGAGGGGTTTCAGGCAACAGAGAAACACTGGATGGCACCACTGGGGCTCCAGCAAAATCCAGAAAGTGGAAAACTCTCAGACAAAGCAATCACTGTTTTCAACAAAGAATTACAAGAAAAAAAGATAGAAAGAAATCTACAGATTAAAAGAAACAGAGGCATAGCAAATGACTGCAATTTAAGAGCTTTATCTGGATCTCAAAAACATTAAAAATCTGTAAGACAATCAGGAAAGTGAGAAGACCGAGTAGATATTAAGTAATTTCTTAGTTGTGATCATGACAGTGTGGTTATGTTTATCAAAGAGAGTTGCTATACTTTAGAGAAATATACCATTATATTTATAGATGAAGCAGTATGATGTCTTGGGAGTTACTACAAAATAATCCAGGTGGAGGAGACAGAGGAAACAAGATTGGTCATGAGTTGGTAGCCACTGCAGCTGAATGATACAGAAGTGCAAATCCATTAGAGGATTCTACTTTTACATTGTTTGAAATTTTCTAAAAGAATAATCTTAACAAATGACCTAAATACATTGAAACAGATCAACTACTGAGTTCACAGTGATACTGAGAAAGAAAATACTCATTATTCACCTTTAGAGCAGTTTCTCAACTTCAACACTATTGATGTTTTGGTCCTGGTAATTTTTTTGTTGGGGGCACTATCCTGAGCATTGCAGGACATTTAGCAGCATCTCTGCCCTTTACTAAATTCTAGTAGCACGGTCATCCCCTTCCTGGCCCCCAAGCTGCGACAATCAAAACTATCTCTAGCAAAAAAAAAAAAAACCAAAAAACCAAAAAAATAAAAAAAAACTATCTCTGCATATTCCAGATGTCCCCCAGGGACACAACTGCCCTTTAATAGGAATCACTGCTTTAGAGAATGCTAGAGAAGCAACTCAGGATTTTGAGAAGTGGTAAGGACAGCTGATTCTCATTACTCACCATAGCTATGGTCTATCAAACTGCAATCAATCCTTAACTGTACTAGCAATACTGAACTAGCAGGAAATACACCGTTGGGTTCCTACGAGCCTCTGGTCATGCATCTTCATCAACGCATCAACATGTGACCTTGATTTGTATGAATCTTTGTTTAAAGACACCTTCTTTAGTATATACTGTTGATTCTTTAACATTTGACTTCTGGCCAACAGAACTCGAATGCATGCCTGAACAAAGCTTAGCTAACACATGTATTTTCTCTGCATGTCTTCTCGCACTTCAGAAAACTGGACAGCATTTCAGCACTATGTTTGGAGGCCACTTTAAACAGCAAAATTACCAACACAAAGCCCCAAAATGCAAAAAACATGGCACTAAATAGACTATGAAAAGGACTCTATAGTCTGAGAGCTGAAACAAGAAAGCAGTGCATCACCTTGCTCGACCTCAGCTGGGAACAGGCATGTCAGGCAGCTAACATTTTTCACCACTCTGCACATGCTCGTAAATGACTGTGAAAGCGCCATAAATATTGATTCTAGGGTTACAAGGAAGTTTCAGTGAGTAGGTGAATTTGCAAGTATGGAATCCATGAATAACGAGGATCAACTGTACGGGGAAAAAGAAAATCAACACTTAGCCTGCCTTTTTCAATAAACTATACCTCAGAGTAGTCAAATAGTTGATGAGAAAAGAGTCTTCTAACAGAGTTCCAGGTGATGAATGCAGGAGGAATGGTAAGAGTCATTTTTGTAACTCTACGGAAATAACTGACAGAGGCAATAATCATCATTGGCTGCTAAACCCATTAAGTAAAAGGCTAGTGGGCCATTAACCTTATTATGTGTGAATGCAACTATCTACATGGGAACCAACTGATTAACTTTCATGACACAAAAAGAAAGGGGACCAAAATTTCATGTCTCCTATTGTAATAAAATTAGTAGTACAGAACATCATCCATGTAGAATTCTTGCCAAAAATATACCCGAATCCAAACAAAGCCCAGAAAAAGGCAGTTCTCTGTGATGTGCACCCATGTTAAGCACACCAAACATAATATGACGTAAAAAAGATCCTTTCAGGGGTTCCATTAGGCGGAGTAGAGGTAAAGTAGCATGAGCCCTAAACCACTCAGAAACAGTGAAAATGTGGGAAAATGGTCAGTGCGAAACAAAGGAATGAATGGGGCCCTGGCGACAAAAAGCGTAACTGTGATTTTCATCTGTATCACCAACATGCCTCCTGTTTTTAGACAATAATCCTTTCACCTCTTCCAAAACGATCATGAAAAAAAAAAATCAACAGTAAAACCAAGAAACCGTGAACTGATAATATGGGATGGAGTAGTAGAGATGGGAAGCAAGGAGAGAAGAGTTATATAAAAATTCTGTGTAACTTCTGCCAGAGCAAAACATTTTCATGGATTGAAATGTTACGTTATCAAGGAAAAACTACACACGTTCTAAGAAAAACTACACAAGTTCCATACAGCTTTTAAAATTCATTAATGCAAGAGTATGTTTTGGCTGAAATACTGAAAAGAATGCAGTGGACCCCAATGAAACTACGAGTTGCGGTTACCTTGCATGAGGGTGGGCGCCTGCAGCATCTGTTTGTAGTAGGAGTAATACAGTCCACATTCTGTTCTGAAGGAGATTTCTCGCTCCACTTCCTGAAATAAAGTTAGGTCTACTGGGTTTACATGACCTAGTTTGGTTTAAATATCCATTGTCACTGTAGAAACAGGATAAAGAAAGAACTACAACTTCAAAGGAAGAAGAAAAAAAAAGACCTCTGAAAATACAGAGTTAAGAACTCTTGGCAAATAAAAACAATAGAGGGCTGATAATTCTTGAAGTTAAGTGTATATTAAAGGAGATTATTATTCTATTCTCTCCACTTTTGTGGATGTTTAAAATCTGCTGTAACAAATCATTCAAAAAAATGGAGGCAACTAGTTCCATTTAAGTTGATGTTTCAGAGTTAACGTTTTTCTCTTATTTCATACAAATTAAAACTTAAAAAAAATACACCACCATTCTTATGTAATACTAGTGAGAAACAAAATATGGGCAGTATAAAAAACATCAAATAAAAGGAACTATAATTGCATTAGACACCTGCCTAAAAGCTAACAACATTATGTAAGATTAATAACTTTCTTTTTACTCTAAGAATATAAGGTATTCTTAGCAAAACGGGGCAGACCTTCTACATTTGAATTTTGTTTTGACAAGTGTAACCCTGGTGGAAAGATGTTCATGTAGGAAAATGGATACAAGAAATATTAAACTACTTTCACATAAATATTTAATTTTAGAAAAACTGAAAGTTTAAAGTAAAGCTATTAGTCAATTTGGCTGTAAGCTGCTTTTATGAAATTTAAAATTTAAATCAGTAATAATAAAATATGGAGGCACCTGATAATGAACATAGGGAAGACTTTCAAGAACAATCCTATTAATACTCTTAGATCCTACATTTCATGTATTTATATAACAGTAAAAATGAACAAAAAATTATAACCTATGTCATTATAGATTCTTTTACATCAGTGTTCAAAAAAAATGCTCTAGAATCTGTAACACATTGTCTAAAATGTATTTCCATCTTCATTTTTTTCCTGTTACAGCAGATCCATATTCTATAAACCCAACTTTACTGGGGGAAGATGATAAACACTGAACATCTTACTTTCTAGTGGAAAAACGTCTTTTAGCACGTGTTTTTCCCCTACTTCCAATTATTTTTCAAACAGTAAAAAACATTTCATTAAAGGAACCACTCATGCTATTTATCTTTAGGCCTGGACATTATTTAATGTATTTCCTTCTACCCTTCAGATATTTAAAGAAATAATTCTTCTACCCTTTAAAATAAGTATTATAAATCAATCCATGAATAGGGCATTGAAGAAATAATCAATTATCAAAGAGTATAAACATCAACTTATTGACCTTGAAACAAACTGTTACATTTTATCATTGTTGACTCTTTTTTCAAAAAGTAGGAGGAGGGAAGGGTAGCAAACCTTCTTATATAATAAGCTTCCTTCAGAGAAAACACATTTATCCTGGGGACATCAAACATGAAAAAAAGGCCCATCAGGCTCTGAAATTGAATTTCATTAGCACATTCGCTTTTTAAAAAGGAAAACAGAAAGTGACGTAGCTCTTTCAGCTTTTACATTTGCTACCGATTTGTGTTGTATCTTTCACAGCAGTAAGGACAACTCTTCTTAGGGCCATGTTAATCCATTCAACTTTAATCGTTGAGGAAAACTGCTCTATTGCTTTTGATAACGTAAAACTAAATTGGTATCACTCAGTTCTAGAATGTTCAACCTCCTCCTTGGTCAAGTAACCACAGAACCTATGAATTGATGTTAATTAAGCAAATATTAGCTTTTGTCCATGTAAATACGGGGGTGGGGGGGGAGAGCACACTATGTTTAATTACATTCTTTTTTTTTTCCCTCCAGTTGGCTTAACGTGTTCAAAGTATGGCTGTCTTCAATGGGCTAATCTAACATCAAACCCACAATCCAAACCAAACTAGAGAACTAAATCAGTTATCACATGTAGGGGGCTTCATATCTGATACAGTTCTAAGAATAAAAGGAGACTGACTTCATAAAGATGGAGAAAGAGAAAACACTGCTCAATGTACTAAAAGTAGGAAGCCACTTTTGGGCCCCATCCTTCTCTCTCTACCCAGAATGTGTAAAGAACAGAGGAGATCCTGATTAGTCAAAATGCATTTCAACATGATTAATCGGTAGTCTTGGCACCAGCTGCACAGAACCAAATGCTATCCTTTATTAGACAGACACTTGCAAGTTTTACATCTGCTTCATGCTAAGAGAACATCTGCTTTACTCATTCAAACACTTTTCTGGTTTTACAGCAATTTATACTTTGTCTCGTGGATTGTGCCAACGAAAACGTACACCAATAGAAGTTATCCTCCAAAGAATGCAAAATGAACAAATACTTCATATTTTAATTTGCATCGGTTCCACAGGGAAAGCAATGTTGAAAGAATGAAAAAAATTGCCTCTGAAGATGATGACAGGAAAAAGTGGAAAGACAAAAGAACTGTATTTTTAAGAAACTGTTCGGCTAAAACCATTTATGTAGTAGTTTATATAGTAATTTGACAGAAGTACTAAAAAGAAAAAAGCATCAAGAAAAAAAAAATGACAGCTCACAATTAATGATTTGCATCCCCTGGCAACACACAAAAGGCAACAAGCCCTTTTAGACAAATGACACCAAATTTGCAAAGGAACCATATCATTAGTTTTTTTTTTAAAAAATCTCATGTAAATAATTGTTTATAAAAACTGCCCCTAAAATAACTAGGCTGCTGGTAGTAGGGAAGCCACTGAAAGATTACATTAAAGATAAATGTAATGTTTCAGAATTAGGTTAACAAATCATCTCACCAAGAAACAGTAGCTCATGATAAGACAGCTGTTCCTAAAGTTCTGTACAGGGAATCACGCCCTCAGCAAACATATTTACGGCACATACATGGTTTATTGTCTGGTTAAATTCATGTCCATCTGTTAGAATGAAATGATTCTTACCCTAGAGTTGATTAAAGCCGTGACATGAGACAGTTGCCAAGCAGTGCTTGTGACTAAGTTAGACTACTGTTGAAGTGACAGTACTTCCATCGGGTTCACACTGAAGCAGTCATTAGTCATGGGACTACCACAGTTACCACTTTGCTGATTAACCCTATTCATTCTAAAGACCCCTTGCTTTGCAGGAGTATTCAATGGGAAGATGTGCAAATTCTGTCATAATCAAATGAATAAGAGAGTAACAGTAGAAAATGTTAGCACAAGGAAAAAAGGTTTTTAAAAAATTGAGTGACTTGAGTACTTTTAGCCAAATGAGAATTATCTTTCCTTATCATTAAACATCTATCTGCTGGGGAAACAAAAAGGTTTAAGAATTCAGTCTTTGATCCCAAGGAGTTTAAGTTTCAATGAAAAAGAACAATGCATTTTTCAAAAAGGAAAATGACTATTCAAAGAAAGACAAGTATCAGTTAAAAGAAAGGAACAGCCTTTTGCCTGAACTATTACACTAGCCTCCCAACTGGATTCTGAGCTTCTAATTGGTCTCTTTTTCCTCTATCTTCATTCATTCATTCATTCATTCATTCACCCATCGATCCATTTATTTATTCAACAAATGCCTACTGACCACCAACAAATGACATGCATTCTTTTTCTGGGAGATTCAGCAGGGAACAAAAAACCCCACAAATCTCTACATTCATGGAATTTATAATCTAGAGCAGAAGAAGAGAACAAATAAGAAAAATAAAGAAAGCAAAGAAGGATAGGGAGGGAAGGGATGGTGGTGTGATCTTGGAGGTGAGCAGGGAGGGCCTCACTGATGAAGTGACACTGACCAGAGACTGCAAGAGGTGAGTGAGCTACGTGGATGTATGAAAGGAGAGCCTGTCAGTCAGACAAACAGCCCACGTACAGCCTGGAGAACAGTGAGGAAGGCAGTGTGGTTTGAGTGGAGGGAACAAGGAAAGGTCGGGGGCAGAAGTGGAGTCTGAGAGGTACTGTGGGTTAGGGACTGGCCCACTGAGTCTTGGTGGTGCAAGGACTCGGGGCTTGTACTCTGAGCTAGAAAGTATGTGTGAAGGGAGGTGGGGAGGCCAGGAGTTTGGTTTTAGACATGCTGAGTTTGAATGTGAAGGGTCTGAGCAGAGACATACACTGCCACACATTTAAAACTGCACTGGCTGCTGTGTTCAAAAAAGACTCAGAGCGGGCAAGGGCAAAGCTGGGGAACCAGGAGGGGGGCTGCTGAAGTCATCCGGGTGGAGGCAGAGGTGGAGGTGGTGGGAGGTAATCAGACTCTAGATACTGTGAAAAGAAAACTGATAGGATTTCCTGGAGGGTTTCATGTGGGGTTTGAGAGAACTAGAGTTCTTTGGGGACAGAAATCCTGAGCCACTGAAGGGTGAAGCTGCAATTTACAGAGATGGGGATTCAAGGAGAAACATCTGAGGGTAGAGAAGGTCAGGTGCCTGAGTCTGAAACTGTAAGTCTGAAATGCCCACAGGACATCCAAACGCAGGTAGCCAAGCAGGCAGCTGGACATGCCAGTCTGGAGTTCAGGGGAGAGGTCTGAGCAGGGACAGACATGTGGGAGCCACCAGCAAAGAGATGGTATTTACAGCTATTAACAGACTGTTCTTAGTAGTGAGGGTAGAAAGAAAAACACAGAGCTGAGTCCCAGAGATGTCTGCCAACAAGAGGTCACTCAGGGGTAGCCTGTAAAGGAGCCAAAGGATCAGCTGGAGAGGCAGGAGTGAATCCAGGAGAACGTGTGCACTGGAGCCAAGAAAAAAACGCCAACAGGTCAAGTAAAAGGAGGCCTGACAGAAGGGCTAAATGGGGAAATCGAAAACTGCACCTTGGGGAGTGATGGAAATGTTAGCTGTCTTGATTGTGGTAGTGGTTTCACTGGTGATTACATCTATCAAAATTCATCAAATTGTACATTTGGAATATGTGTAGTTCACTGTACAGGAACCATACCACAATAAAGGAGTTAAAAAAAAAAGGATTGAGAAATGACCACTAGAGTTAGTAATTTGAAGGTCATCTGTGACATAAGCAGAACTCTCTACGAG